TAATTTAAAACAAAAAATACTTGATAATATAAATATTAAATTATTAATTTACATATATTATATAATTTATAAAAAACAAATATTTACTAAATTTAAATTAATTAAATAAAAACAGGTTTAAAACCAAAAATTTCTTTATAAATTCAGTTTGATTATTTTTAAAATTTAAAAAATAAATTATAGATATTAAATTCAAAAAAAATGTCTATTAGTAATTCAATTCCTAGTTTAAAAACTCTTAAAAATATATTATTTGATGAACAAGAATGTATTAAATTTTTGTTTGATAAGGATATTTTGTATAAATCTCAATCATGTTCATATTGTGATTCTTTATTATATCGTGAAGATAAATTATATAGATATATTAATCGTATATGTCGTAAATCTGTATTAATTTTTAAGGATTCTTTTTTCGCAAAAAATCAGTTCAGATACATTAATGATTGGTTATTTCTGGTTATGTAAAACTAGTTATACTTCAATTATTAATATAACTGGTTATTCACCAAATACGATAACAAATTATATGAATTTTTTTAGAGAATTAATTATTAATACATTAGAAGATAATACAAATATGATTGGTGGAGAAAATATAATTGTAGAAATTGATGAATCTAAATTTGGAAGAAGAAAATATCATCGTGGTCGTATAGTTGAAGATATATGGGTGGTTGGTGATATTGAAAGAACTGATGAGAAAAGATGTTTTGTGCAAATAGTACAAGATAGAATAGCTGAAACATTACATGATGTAATATCAAAACATGTTGTATCTGGTTCTATCGTATATACTGATTTATGGAGAGGTTATAGAGGAATTACAGAATTAAATATGTCTCATAAAACAGTAAATCATTCTAAGAATTTTGTAGATCCTAATACAGGTGTTCATACAAATACTATTGAAGGTTTGTGGAATGGAATCAAGATACAAATTCCACCCCAAAATAGAAATAAAAATACAATTAATAATCATTTATTTGAATTTATATGGCGTAAAAAAAATTCTGATAATTTGTGGACTAGTTTTCTAAATGCACTACAAACTACAGGATATTATAATTAATAGGAATTTTTATATAATATTTTTAAATTATTACTTTTTTATATATAATAATAATACACAAATTTAAAAATAATAGATTTTTTATTTTTTATTATATCAATAATATAAATTTCACAAAAATATTAAATATTTATATATATATATATAAAATAATTTGATAATAAATATTGTAATTAAAATTTTCTTATAAATATTGACAAGTAAATAATAAACAAGAAAAATTAATAATCTATTAATTTTTCTAGAATAATATTCTTTTGTATATATATACAATATACTATAGTTGACCTTTGATCAACATAAAATCTCCTGATCGTTTGTCTGGTGCCTTATTCATGTAACAACGTAATGAAACTTTGTTTCATTACAACGTGAACATACCGTTTAGGTATTGGCGAGCTCATGTAACAACATAAAAATGGCGATTGTATAATCAAAATTTGCTACATCGTGTGGATACATCATATTATACATCGTATAAACAACGTTTTATATATTATATGAAACAACGTTTATTACATCATATAAATATATTGTATCCATTATTTATTTAATTCAAAATAAGAAATAATAATATTATAAATTTAATTTATATTTTTATTAGTATTGTTGTATAATGGAATTTCACATTAATTATTAGTCAAAATTATCATTTAATCTTATTGGATAATTTTGAGAA